AGCGCGTCGAGGCGCTAGAGAAAGCGTCCGCCCGCGAATGAGGGGACGCGAGGGCGTCTCGGCGACCCCTGGTGGTGGGAGGAGCACGCTGCACGCCGGCCGCCTGGCCCGGCGCTTGGAGGCTGTACTGGGGAGAGGGATGGAACTGCTTTTCAACCTGAAGAAATTTTTTGTTCTCCCCACAACTCACACTTTAATAAGCGGCTATAAGGTGTATGGCACATGTGTAATGGACACCTCCTGTGAGGTGTCCCTGCCCTCAGTGTTTCCTCCCCCTGAGGATTTAATGATTCACACCCGAGGTACAAGTCAAGGGCGTTTCTTCACGGTGTATGCAGGTGTCATCTCCACCCAGCACCAAAACTGCACAAGATGTGAAAAGTTAGAAACAAAAATTAACATCTCCAAGAGACGATCAGTTAAGACTGAGCTGACTTCTTCCATGACGAAGTCAAATCTGACGAGAGGAGAGTGGTAGAGCTACAGCGATGTCCTCTGGTATCTGTGCTTCATTTAATCCCCTTTGCTTTCTGGCGGTTCTGGCTCCCAAGGCGCATTAAATGCAGTTTCTGGGGACCAGGAGAGCTAGAGTGAGGGCGCATCTCTGAATGGGGAACTGGTGACTCTTCAAGATCAAGATCACAGAACCTTTTGGGATGCAGTTTGGCTTCCAGGATGGAAATTTTAGATACTTTTCCTCTTCCCCTACCTGCACTGATTCTCAAAAGTGCTGCAGTTGTCTTAGCTAACATGTAGGCTATTTGATGCACTTCAGTGCATTTTCCATCCAGCTTCCTCCATTGCTCTGTGGGCAGCAGTTGTTGCTTATAAACTAGGAAGCCAAGGTTTAGAGAGGCCAAGCCATGGCTTAGAATCCTACCAGCTTTGGAAAAACGGGGCTGAAACCCAGGACTGGCTCCACATCCTGCCATTCTGCTCTTTCCTAGAAGGGTTTTGAGGCGGGGCTTCAGTGTGAGCCTGGACTGGCTTGGGCAAAGCAAAGGCAGAGAGACCATTTAAAAAGCTGTTACCATACTTTCACAGAACTAAAGACTGATTCAATTTGAACAATGATTATTTGAATTCAAACTCTGGGCATGGCACTGAGGTGGGCACTGAGGATCCAAGAGACCAGATCAGGGTTGCTGCCCTGAAGGAGGTCAGGGGCAATAGAGGAAACAGTCAAGCAAACCAGAATAAAAAGCGTAGGGTGAAGCTGGGGACCCAGACCCCAGGCGGGCCTCTGGCAGGGAATGTTAACCATTTCTGGGTGCATGGGGACAAACCAGGTGGCCTCAGAGCCAGGCCTTGAAAGATGGGCAGGACTGAGAGAGGTGGGAGACATTCTACCAGTTCATAGGATGGGGTGGTAATAAAAGCAGGTGACATGTTTCAGTTTACTGTTGCCAAGTACTTTTCAATATGTATCTCTTCTCATCACCCCAAATGCCCCATGAGGCAGGTTCTTTGAGATTTAGAACCATTTTTAAAAAAGATTTATTTTTATTTATGCATACAAGAACTCTGAATCCTCTGAGAGGATTCAGAGACAGACTGGGGAACAGAACAGGTGGATCAGCTGAAATATACTGCTGAGGGGAGCAGTGGGCGAGACAGAAGAGGTCTGCTGCGCCATGTGGGTCAGCTCCCTGGCCAGGGATCGAACTCAGGCTGCAGTGGCTGGCAATAGCTTGATAGCACTGAGATTTAACCCCTGTCCTACCAGGAAGGCCTGATTTTTAATCAATTTTCAGATGAAGAAACAGAAGCCCTAAAAGGAGGAGCAGATTTCCCAAATTACACAGTTAGGTGAGTGGTGAAATTCCAAACTTCAAAGGCCAAGGTCTTGGCCCGGATTTGAGCCCCTTCTGAGATGGGTGTGAGGTGAGGGAAGAAAACAGGATCCGGCTGTATCAACCCCCTCAGCTGAGGTTGAGGAACAGTGGCAGGAGCCCAGGGGACAATCAGACCAGAGGAAGGTGGCTGGGGGGAGGGGCGGGGGTGTGATAGTGCAGGTCTGTCCCCTATGTGAGCACAAGCGGTTGTTTTGGTTCATTCCAACTAAGCATCACTCTTGCCCCAACTGCCAAATCTGAAATGCACTCACTGCAGAATTACACTGAAACCTTTCACCCAACAGTGAATAAATGTCCACTGGCAGTGTTTCTTTTTCTTCCTTCTTCCCTTGAGGAAATCATTCAACTTCATTTTGTTTTTCCCCCTCTTTGTAAAAGTAATGCAGTAATGCAAAAAAAAAACATTATAAAAGTGCAAAAGTGCATATTATATATATATATATATATACGTACATATGTATATACATATATATGCATGTATACACACACACACACATACAACATCCCCCAGAGAAAGCTACTGATAATCTTTGAAACATATCCCTCCAGACAGTGTTCTAGGAAGACTTTTCATTAGAAACATTTTTAAATAGACCACACAATGGGTAGCATTTTGCAACTTACTTTGTTCACTTACCTTTGTTTACATACTGGGGCAATCTTTCAGGGCCAAATGTATTTCATTCCATTTAATGCCACAAAGTTTTTTAAGGTATGGATGTAACATAGTCGCACATTTCATATGGATAGGTAACCACGATCTCCCTTACGAATATCACCCGACACTGCAGTGAGCATTCCGCACGCAGACCTTTGCATGCACAAGTGGCTGAGCATTGTCATGAAGCAGGATCCTCGGGGTGAGCTTGCCGAGCCCAAGTGTAAGCAGTTGCTGAGTGCCCTTGCACAAGACTGTACCAACTCACATACCCTCCAACAGTGCCTGTTCCTTGGTCCAAATTAAGAAACTGCACTGTTTCTCCATCTTTCCTCCCTTACAGGCATTCACACCTGATTATCAATAATTTTCGTGTTCTTTTTTGGAAAAAGATTTATTTATTTATTTAGCATACAAGAACTGGGGTACAAGCCAGAGATGCAGATGGGGGTGTGGGAGCAGATTCACTAGAGACATAGTGGGGAACAGAACAGGCTGATTGACTGAAATACACTACTGAGGGGAGCAGTGGGCAAGAGAGGAGAGGTCTGCTGCACCCTGTGGGCCAGCTCCGTGGTCCAGGTTCAAACTCGTGCTGCAGTGGCTGTAGGTAGCTTCCTAGTGCTGTGCTTTAACCCCTTGTGCCACCAGGGAGGGCCCAGTAATTTTCATTTTCATAAACACTTTCTGATAATGCAGAACCACCAGCTGGAAAGTTCCATCACCTCCCTGCATGTACTTTGCTTCTCCCCAGAAAGAGGCAGAAGCAATGTAGCAGAGAACACATTTGTATTCTTCAGCAGAAAGCTCCCTGCTCCTAGCAATTCATCCATTCCTTTTTAAATTACCGTGCCTTGCTAAGTTAGAAGCTATTTAAAAAGCCCTAGTGTTCTATATAATCGCTTTAGGGTTCTGTTGGAACTCTCATACCAATGAAATAAAAAACGTTAGAGAGTCATTTTAAAGTATAGATAAATACCACTGACTAGAGTGAAGGCTGGCTGTCATTTTTCTGATTTATCCAGCTTTGCATTTTTATCATTGACCTTGGGCTATAGGAGAATGTTCACTTCTCCCATTTTTCTTAAAGCCCTGTGAAATCTCTGTCACCTTTATTCCTTGGTTTTTCTTCTAATCAGTGTTCAGTAAAGGATGGAAACTGGTGTGGGGAGCAGGGGGATGGTGTCCAAGCCCAGTGGGTCTTAAAATTAACCAGATGTTCATGTATCTGCTGATGGAGGTGAAGGAGAGGAGGGCCACCTGTCACACCTGTCTATTCTCAGGGCATTGCTGTGTGACAACCTAGCTACACTGAGAGCATCTTTCATCCCTTAGCAAGGACTCTGAGCAAGCCCCTGAGTTTGAATCTGGGGTCCAGGAGTGTGATTTTGTGGAAAACAATTAAAACTCTCATTTGTAGAATGGGTATAAGCAATACTACTATCTTAGAGGATTTTTCCACAGTAAATGATATAATTTCCAAGGAGCCCTAAAGAAAAATGCTCTTATTAGGTGCCTTCTGGTCATTTTACTTTAAAATCATCATGAAATCAGGGTGTAGAACATGCCAGAATTCCAGAAACATCTTTCTCACCTTTCTGTTGCTTATTCCTCAGTGTGCCTTCACTTTGGTGAAATGTCTGCTCAAATCTCCTGCTAGTATGTTATTGATGGTTTTCTTTCTTGTTGTTCAGCTTTCAGAGCTCATTATGTGTTCTGGATACATGTTCTTTGTCAGATATGTGATTTACAAATACTCTCCCCACTTTGTCTTTAATTTTTTCATTTTTTAGACAGTATCTGTCGCAGAGCAAAAGTTCTAATATTCATTAAATCCAATCTATACACAAAAGGTCAATCTTTCAAAGATTGTGGGTTTTGTGTCACATCTAATGCTTTGCCTAAGCCTAGATAACAAAGATTTTTCTGCCATATTTTCTCCTTAAAGCTCTATGCATTTGGTTTTACAATCAGATCTACCATCCACTGTGAATTGATGTCATACAAGTTGTGCAATTTAAGTGAAGGTTCATTTTCTTACATATGCATGTATAATTTTCCCAGCACCACTTGTTGAAAAGGTTGTCATTTCTCCATTGAAATGTCCTTTCACTTTTGTGACAAATCAATGGGCTATATTTTATGTGGGTGCATTTCTGCATTCTATTGTGTTCTATCAATCTATTCTGTGCCACTGCTGCACCATTTTGGTGAATGAATATTTATACTGTCTTT